CAGTGACATCACACCATCACTGCTGACTGTCCCCCTTCTCTCCCCCCCCACCCCCAGTCTCCTGATGGTAGCCAGGCCAGACCAGGCCTAGCAACTCTAGATTAAATGTTCCTAGGGCTGCCAAGTGGGGGCAGGTGGCGGATAACCCCCCCGCTTCAGAGGCCTGATTTCCGCCACCGTGGAATCAGGCCCCGGGGGGAACTCCGCCCCCCACAGTGCAGCGTGGCTGCATCACCAGAGGTGACGCAACCACGTCAATCACGTTGCGGGCGTGGCACTGATCGTCGGAGGGAAAACTCTATGGTTTTCCCTCCGACAACATGGTCGACGTCGCGCGTCACTACCGCACGCATCTTCGGACGGCTCCCGGAGCCCAGCGAGGCTCCCCTACCGGTAAGCAAAATAGACTTGGCAACCTTAAATGTTCCCCTACTTAAAAATATTTCATGCATATAGAAACTGAAGGCAGACTAGCCTAAAACTATTCTTCCTGACAGGATAGCTTTCTGCTAACACAGAGAAGAGAAGAAGAAGGGGAGTTTGTTTTACATGAGGGACCATTCAAAGAAGTTCATGTAAATTACCATTGCATTCTCTCACAGACAGGCTTGGATGAGATATAATTCCAAACCACAGTATGTCATTATGTGAACAAGCCATGAAGGATTTTCATCCCCACTCATACAATCCCGTGTTCCTCCTCCCTACAGCCAGCTAATTAGTAACTTCTACTTTCACAGCAACTAGTGTTTACTATTCCCATCCTGCCCATCCTGCAATCTCTGGTGTATAGTCCTGCAAACTAGGGTTTCAAACATCTGGTTGTTCCTAGTTTGCAATGCTGGTTTTCAAGGCAAGTGCTAATCATAGTTTCCTGGGTTGGATGTAACAGCAGCGATTTTCTGCAAATGCAGAAATGACTAATTAGCTTAGCTTACAATGCATGAGGGCAGGGGGATCACATGAGAAAGCCTGAAGATGTCTATTTATGTTTTATTGCAGCATATAAATGTTTTAAATAAATAAAGTTCTTCTAGGCTTATTCATATAGCACCAAAGCAGGATTTTGTGTTATGTCAAAACCCAGCTAGTACATTATTGCTGTCACCACTGTGTCCTCTGAGTGAATAATCTGCAGTAGGAGTATTAAAAAATCTAAGGGTGCTGTAGTGGTTAAGAATGTTGGACTGGTCTCTGGGAGACCTGGGTTTGAATCCCTGCTCGTGCCATGGAAACTCACTGGGTGACCTTTGGCCACTCACACTCTCTCAGCATCGCCTACCTCACAGGGGTTGCTGCAAGGATAAAATGGAGGAGAGGGGAATGATGTAAGCTGCCTCAGGTCCCCATTAGGGAGAAAGATGGAGTATAAAGAAATAAATTCTAAAAACATTTTTCCCTAGAAGTAAAAATCACTGAATAACATGGGACAACATTCTGCATAGACCTGCTTAAGGCTTGCTTCCTAAAACTAGTACAGATAAGCTCACACTAGGCTAGTACATCATTTTGTTGTTCAATACAAACTGAAGTAACATGTACATACAGAAACTTCAGCCTTTCCCTAGTTATTTTTTCATGAACTCCCTTTATTGCAGAGAAAACTTGAAAATGGAACCCCATATTTATAGGCTCAGAGAACTGATCTGGCAGTGATGAAACCTAATCCTTGTCAGGTTATCACACTGTAGCAGAATTAGAGTAGACATTCTTAAATGCTACTGTTGGATTTTGCCTGTCCAACAGGAAAGTTCCCTCATTGTTGCTCCTCTGCCCTTTCAGTTCCTTGTGTTCCTGCTACCTATCTGTACCACCTTCCCTGAATATTCTGATCTTCTTCAAGACCCCCCCTCCATCCTGATGTCCTTAGCTTTTTATCTTTTCTGAGCTCCTATTCTCCATTAGTCAGTGTTCTAAAGTTCTCTGTTTGTACCACCGCCATGCCTTTGTGTTGCCCTTACAAACAGCAGCTCAACATCAGAGCTCTCTCTCTCTCTCTCTCTCTCTCTCTCTCTCTCTCTCTCTCCCCCTCTAACCTGTGGGTCTTGAATAGTATTTATCAAACATAACTGGGAATTTGAGGAAGAAAAGAAGAATTCAGGCCAGACAGGGCTAGTACGTACACTACAAAGACAGCTGTTCCAACCCCAGAGCTCTTTGATTTGGTTTTCATATTCTGATCACCTAGCTTAGATCTTTGGCTTCAACTTGATTTGTTCCCAGAACTCACGCAGCCTCAAGAAATGGCAAGAAATGGTTTCAAACCACTTGCTCAAAATGTATTTGAGCTATTTATTTATTTACTTTATTTCTATCCCACCTTTAAGCCCGAGGGGGACCCAAAGCGGCTTATATAATTTTCCTCTCCTCCGTTTTATCCTCACAACACCCCTATGAGGTAGGTTAGGCTGAGAGTGTGTGACTGCCCCAAGATCACCCAGCAAGCTTCCATGGCACAAGTGGGGATTCAAACCTGGGTTTCCCTGATCCTAGACCAACACTTTAACCACTACACCACACTGAAACAAATATGAAACAAATATGTCAGTGTCCTATTTCATACAGCCCCTGCCCCAATAGCATTTTTTAAATTTGCTGTGGCCAGAGCCATAGAATTATGAACAGTACTTAGTTCCAGATAATTTATTTATTTTTATTTATTTTTTCATTTATATCCCGCCCATCCCATAAACGGGTTCAGGGCGGGTCACAGCATTTCAATAAATACAATAACATTTAAAACACATTAAAACAAAGTTAGTCTTTTTGTTTAAATTAACTAGGTTGAATATAACCCACCTTAATGTTGTGTTATTGTGCCAGTGACCAGACTTTTTATTTAATGAATATTTTTTCTCATCAGTTCTGAATGTTCTTAATTACTAACAAAGCCCAGAAAAGAGAAAAAAATCTTACATGTGCAAAGTTCTATGACACAGTATTCTCAACTGAGATAAAGGATGAAGTAGAGAAACATATGTTTCTGTCATCACTGTCTGCACAGTTGTCACAAAAGCTTTCCTCTTGGGCAGATTTTCTAGCATGATTACAATTGTCCCAAGCACATAAGGATCTACCTCACCCACAGGGTTTCCAGTGTTATTACGAATCCATGACACTTTGTGTTCTCTTTAGCAACCATGCCACTGACATACAATCCAATTTGTGAGAGTTTTCCTTCCAACACTAAGAATACAGCCCACAACGAAGATAACTATTAGACAAGAGAGTAGGATTCACCTGAGCTATCCACAATCCCATGTTGTTTCAATATAAATATGGAGCTTGAGACAAGAAGGGACTGAACAAAAGATAATCACACTCGGAGCTCCATATGCTTATCACCACCACCATAATGTATACACTATAAGCTGCTGGCAAGGCAAATCAACAAGAGAGCTAATCTCAAGTATACGCTTAGGAGGAAAATGATGAAGTGCTAATAATTTGCACTTCACCTGAAATTGTTCTTTAAAGGAATCACCATATAGGTTTGTCTGAGGGGAACTTCTGATGTTACCTTTCTCTATGCATGTTCTTAATTAGCACGAAGGAAAGCAGCTAGATTTTGGGGGAATAGTATATTGATACAGCTCAGTGTATCTGAAAGCTATTTGCAAGTTAGAGAAACGGAATCTTTTGGCTATTTCTGCAGACACAGCAAGAAAGTACATAGGGGGAAATCATGGGATAAGTGCAAATGGAATTCTAAAATACGTAAATAACCAATAATAACCAGCCTTGTTTTATTTGACTGGTGCGTATGTCCATTTGTTGTCTCTCAGTAAAACAAGGCTGACAAACTCAGATGGAGGAAGGCCAAATTCCCCATCCACCACAGGCCCAGAAGTCACCACCCACACCTTTTTACCAACAGTTGGACCAGGGGCCAGATTCTAAAGTATTCTCTGCATCCAATCCTCAGGAGCCACCCTTCTCCACCAATCCTGTCAAAATCCCTTCTCCAGAACCTTCCCTGCCTCCAATCACTGCCTCCCTGCACCCTCTACAGTTCCCAAATCCCAAACATCTAAACCCACTCCCCAAGTCCTCCCCATTGCTTCCCTTTCACAGGCCTAAAATCTTCCCACATACCTTAACAGCTATCCACTCTAAATTTCCCTATCCATGCTTCCTTTTCCACTGACCAAAGGCAGCTGCCTCGTATTCAGATCTCTTTCTCTTTTCAACACATAGTTGGAGAAGAGGGGAAATGGCTCAGTGGTAGAGCATCTGCTTTGTACACTGAAGTTTCCAGGCTTAATCCTCAGCATCTCCAATTAAAAGAATCCAGTAAAAGGCCTGTGCCTGAGACACCAGACAGTTGCTGCTAGTCAGAGTAGGCAACACTGATCTTTATAGTCAAATGGTCTGATACGGTATATGGCAGTTTTATGTGTTAATGTGAGTTTACCTACATTTGTTTATTATTTTATTTATTTACATTATTTATGGTCTGCCTTTCTCACTTGGACTCAAGATGGATGACACATAGTGAGTCGATACAATCAACACGTTGGGACGTTCAATAAACAATGTAACAGGACAAGAGTTGTAGAACCAATCAGAAATCTTAAAACAGAACTGAAGCAAAGCATTAGCATTTACATGTAATATTCAGTGAGGCAACAATTACACAGTAGGATCCTAGTTTCAGCAAGCTAAACACAGCAGTATACACCACAGTCCCTAATGATTTATCCAAGTAACTTTGTGAGTCATTTAGTACAGTGCAACTCTATTGTCTGCTCAGAAAAGCCCTCTTGTTTTGCACAGTTTGTAGAAAGCCAGGAGAGCGGGAGCCTTCCTGACCTCCTCAGGTAGGTTGACTGAGTTTCTTTAGGAGGTTTAGTAATTTGTGTACTACATGATAGGGGTGCTATGAGGACCCTAAAGGAACTGATGCTTGATAGTCACTGTAAATCATTGAGACTTTACAGAACAGAAAACGATAAATAAGAATTTAACACATAATAACAAACGCACGCATGGGCACTTACCTAAGGTCCAATAGCTTACTGCTTCCAGATGTGAAGGACTACTGTAAATTGCATGCATATACATCAAATGGATCATCAGCTCAGCCAGCCACCACCAAAACAAAATACGAATAGTGCCCCCGATGAAAATGCCTAGATTAGACTTCAGACCACCAGATTCTTGACTAGTCATCTGTAATAGGAATAAATTAAGACTGTTTTTAATTCGGTGCAGAAATGACTGAACATTTACATAATTAAAAGATGGAATAATAGTGCATTTTAAAAACATACTTTCATTTCTAACACTCTAATCCCTAGAAAGTAAATTCACTAAAAATATGGGATATAAGAGAACCCTGATTTGACTTTTGCATTTGATTTCTTGAAGTTTCATGCTGACCAACAACTTCTATTGTATGCATTTAAAATGTAAAACGTTTTGCTGTTACATAAATTGGAGAATGCTTAAAGCACAACAGAAGACCTACATGGAAAACCATTCAGCATATTATGTAGCTTACATAAAGAATGTCACACATAATGATCACACATCCATGTCTGTTCATATGTGCAACTGACACATCAAATGCTGTATATGTATGCTGCAAACAATTTCCTACATAGAAGTAATTGCTGGGTAAGAATTTTCGTCACATTTGAAAGGATACTGCGATGTTTCTAATCCTAAAACACTGTAATCCAATTTTAACTGAGTTTATTCAAATGCAAGAGTCACCATCACTAATATATGCAAAATCTACTGGAGGAATTCCAATTTAGAGCTCGATCTCCTCATTTCAAAGAGCAGATTTCTGCTAAGAATCTGATTGCCATTACAAACCCTGATGAGTTCCATGGGAATTTACACTCTCAATCCTTTGCTTTAAGCAAAAATACCCACGTTGTTTTGCCATATGTATTTTTCATTCACACTCACACTATATCATGGATTTTGTATCTTCCAGATGGAACAATGTGTGATTTATTATAGAAAATAAATGCTTCATTTCTCAAGATGAAAACTATTATGACTGCAAACCACTTTCTGGGGTGGGGTTATTATTTCATCAAAACTTCAGTGGTCATAAATTATATTAATGTTTCTACCTGTTTTTTTAAAGTAACCATGTCCAACATAAGCTTCTAAGTGATCATGTAACAAAAAGCTTTAAAAAATTATGTTTTCATCACTCTGCATGTTTATCCCTCACTCTAGTGTCTGATCACATCATGGAGAGCAAAGGCACATCTGGCAACACAGTTTCCTTAGTCCTTAATAGCCAGCCCAATTCATTCTAAAAGTGGTACATAGGATTATAATATTCTCAGCATTCAGCCTTTGTCACCTGTTGGGATAATTGCTTCCAAAAAAAGCTTTTTGTTCTTGGACTTATCAGGAAAAGCACACCAAAGGGGAAAATTTGGAGTGAATAAAAGCAATTAACACAAAAGAAACATGTTTATTGCCTTCACCTTTAGATACAGTATTTGAACAGCAAGGAAAAACATTGTCATCATTATTGTAAAAGGGATTTGTTTTTAAATATCAAATTGAAGAAAAACTGTTGCCTGCATAGGAAAATATTCAGCTGATTTAGTCAAAAACCTAAAATGGAAGCTCAACTATTTTTTCCAGTGTGTGAAGACTTCTCAAAGCAGCAAATGTATCATGTATTTTCAAGACTTTATCTTCTACAATAAACCCTGTGAAGGCAATGGACTGACACTGTTTTCTCAACATACCTAGGATTGGTATCCAGAATGGGCTGAGCAACAGAATCATAAGACAGTAACGTGCCCTACACAGACACTCATGCTATCAGCTCTTCTTCTCTGGTCATTAACAGTTTATTCTGTTAACAAAGTTGTTATAATACTACTAAGGACAGGTCTTAAAGAGCTGGAATTTTTTACTCCCCCCCCCCGTGTACTGGATTGGATCCATTGGAATGTTATTCCCCTCTTCTATTTAGATAAGCTCTGTAACTGAGGAACTACCTTCTTCAATTGTGTGGAATAGGGCTGCCAAGTGGGGGCGGGTAAACCCCCGCTTTGGAGGCCCAGATCGGGGCCACGCCCTCAACGTGATTGACGTCGTGCGTCCCTTCCAGTGACGTGCTGGCGGCGCACGCACACTTTGCGCACACGCATCAACTGAGAGCTCCCGGAGCTCAGCAAGGCTCCCCCGCCGGTAGGAAAAATCAACTTGGCAACCCTAGTGTGGAATTTGTCAAAAAATTATTGGAAGCTAGGGCTTGACTTTCTGTCCTTAATTTAAGGCTTAAGCTGGTCTTTAGTGAAAAGGGGTATCTGCATATATTGGGACTGGACTTTTTTAGATCTTTTTGGATGAAACTTGTCATGATCTGGGCTGTGCCACCAGAGGCCTACTAGGCCCACGAAGCCTGGCTAGCAGTAGGTGAGGCTGGGCCTACAACTCCCAGAAGCCCCTGAGAGGTTTTGTAGCCAAAATTGACCAATAGGAAAAGAGGGAAGGGTGAGTAGTCTAGTGTCACTTGGAATAGTGAGCTAGGGACAATATATATTTAGACGTGTTAGGACATTTGATTTCTTTTCTTTTCACCCACTTACTGTTATATTTCTGTACCTTGTTTGTTTGACTTCCTATACAATAAAGTATTTTCATTGTTCACTCTGCCTGGTCCTCATGCCTATTATTCGGCCAAAAGGGAGGTCTAAAGGTCTTGGGAGGGTGCTCTGGGCCTTCTCAAGGGAACCTGGAACCAGAGTGGTGGCAGCGTCAAGTGACACCCCACCTGAACTGTGACAAAACTCCTTGATGAATAGTTGATGGCCCTTGGTATAACAGAAGATTTGATGAAAACTCATGGGAAACATGAGATTTATGCTATGGTTAAGGAATGTATTACAGACTATCAAAGTACCAGATTCAGAGCATATCTTGTTTGCTCCTCTCAATATTTTGGTATTTCCCCTCTAAAAACTCTCCCATGATATGTATATTATTTGGCTATCACTTGATATGCAAGGGCCTTCTATCTGGCTTGGTTAAATGCAAATCCTTCCCAGGTTCATCAGGGTAATAAGGATCTCAGAGAGTGGTCACCTCCAGACTTGATTACTGCAACTCGCTTTACACAGGCTTGCCCCAAAACTGATCCAGAAATTACAGCTGGTACAAAATGTGGTGGCACGCCTGCTGACGTCACCTGTGCGGGCTCACGTTCGGCATGTGCATTGCCAGCTGCACTGGTTACCAGTTGTGTACCGGATTTGCTTCAAGGTGTTGGTAATAGCCTTCAAAGCTTTATACGGCCTGGGACCAACATATCTAAGGGACCACCTCTTCCTATATACACCTCAAAGAGCTTTATGCTCTAATAATCGACATCTCCTGGTGGTCCCTGGCCCAAAAGACGTCCGTTTAGCCTCGATCAGGGCCAGGGCCTTTTCTGCCCTGGCCCCCACCTGGTGGAACATGTTCCCCATCGAGAGAAGGGCCTGCAAGATGGAGCTGTTCTGCCAGGCTTTTGGTTGAGGCAGCGGGCATCTACATAAGCACCCAGCCATAACAATCAGTATTAATGGGTCGGAATTTGCACCAGCAGCTATAACTACTGATTTTAAATGCTTACAACGTAATATTTTATTGTGTTTTAAACCTTATTGTATTATTTGAGATGATGTGACCCACCCTGAGCCCGCTCACGGGATGGGCGGAGTACAAATACAATAAATAAATAAATAAATAAATAAATTTTTATTACCCCTTGTTAGCGTGCCATTCTGAATTTTCAGTCTCTGCTGCTCTGAATTCCCAAAATTACTTTATCTGTGGCCAAATATTTTCAGTAATTTCTTCCTTAAAGTTACAACTATTTCTGCTGCTCAAGAGCATTGTCTCATGGAGCCTCCACCCACTCACTGCTCCAGCTGTAGCAATAGTTAAGGATGAACTCTGATTAAGAATCTGCATTTACCCATCACTGGATATTGTGCTATCATTGCACTACATCGATCATTCATAGCTGGATTCCTTTACATGGACAAGTCCATTCTAGTTGAGAATGATTGCTATAGTGTAACAATAGCACAATATCCAATGAGGTATAGATGCAAACCATGGTTAGCAAAAACCAAGGTTGATATTTTGTGCCAATCTTCTGTTCAGTTGGGTGGGGAATGTTCCATGGAGTCAAAGAGCTTCAGGAGAACACCTATTCCTATCGCCTGTCCCTTAGCTCCTAGTCACACTGAAAACATTGGCCCATAGTGACAGCCCTTGTTCACTCACACACAGTGCCTAAAAGGTAAAGGTAAAGGTTCCCTTGCTCGAAAGCCAGTCGACTCCGACTCTAGGGTTGCGGTGCTCATCTCCATTTCAAAGCCGAAGAGCCAGCGCTGTCCGAAGACATTTCCGTGGTCATGTGGCCGGCATGACTAAACACCAAGGCGCACAGAACGCTGTTACCTTCCCACCGAAGTGGTACCTATTTATCTACTTGCAATTTCTTGCTTTCGAACTGCTAGGTTGGCAGGAGCTGGAACTAGAGATGGGAGCTCACTCCATCATGCGGCAACCCGGGTCTTGAACTGCTGAACTACTGACCTTCCACAGCCTACAGTTCAGCGTCTTAACCACTTGAGCCACCGCAGCTCCATACACAGTGCCTACCACCCTCTAAAACCTCTCACTCTCTCAGGCTCTGGGTTACAAGTAGGTTAGGACGTCACATTCGCCACCCTTCTTGTCACTTTCAAAATATATAGAGAGCCTTGACTATTTCACACTTCAGGTTCGCTCTCACACTCACAGAGACCTCAGCACGCAGGGTAGCCCAGCACCATTTAATAACTATCCTTCTCTCACACAGAGTTATTGGGGTTGGGGGTCAACACCATTCCAGTGATACGCTGCCACCATTTATGCATATCCTATAATATATATCTAGACCGAGATATTAACTTTTGTGTGGGTTTGCATGGGTTTGTTAGCTCATAGGGTTAAACAAAACAAGAAGTTAACTTTTATTTAAGTATTAACATAATACTGAAGAACGTAATGTAGACATTAGAACTTTTAACTTCCACTGAACTTCTGAACCATGGTCCTATTCCTGCAACTGGGATTTTTTGGTTACAATCTGATTATTTTCAGCCAGCATTAAGCAGCTCTTCTCCACAGTTTCACTCTGTCAGATATCCTCT